ACTCCATCTTTTTATTGACTTTAATGCAGCATACGACAGTATCAAGTGAAATAAGTTGTATGAAGCAATTTGGTATTTTCCTGAAGCTTATTAACTTGACAAAGGCAACACTCAGAAGAGTCAAGTTGGAAAACGAACTCTCCGAAACGATTTCTACACTGATAGAGGTCTGAGGCAGGGAGATGCACTTGCCTGCCTTCTATTTAATATCGCACTTGAAAAAGTAATCAGAGGATCTGGAATCAATGTAAGAGGCACTATTTTTCAAAGATCTACACAAATTCTTGTTTATGCAGATGATCTTGATATAGTGGGAAGATCTAAACCAGTGGTTCCTGAAATCTCGCAGACCCCTTGCCATGCTTTTCCATTTTGGATAGACCCCTTGTTTTCTTGATATTGATTTTTTTTGTAAATTCATCTACTTCAAATACATTTTTGATAGCTTGTATAGTGCTACTCACTGCGAAAGATTTAAATTTCTAACTGTAGTGAAGTGTATTGTGAAAAGAAAAACACATGTTAATTTTATACATTTATTAATTAAATTCAAACTAATTTAATTAATATGTAAATGGAATAAAATAATTCCACTAAAAACCCGCACTCCGCTACTAATATTATAATTGCGGCAACAAGTTTGTATACAAAACCATAGTAGTGTATTGTCGGTCTGTTTATTACGTTTTCAAGTAAAAACTATGCAACTAATCTCCGTGTTTTTGTGCACAGATAAAGTTGGAAGTACAGCTAGCTGAAGAGTTGACACAGGTTAATCTACAATTTACCGCGGAAAAAATACTTTTCTGTTACAAAACCTTACACGCGGAGTAAATAAAAACGCACGCAGGCAGAGCTGCAGGCAACTGCTAGTTTATAATAATTCAGTTTCATATATCAAAAAATAATCCTAATAACTTAAATTTTTTACTTCATAGCTACTTTTATTTTTATAAATTTATAGAATGTTGATACAGGGTGCGTAACCAAATTTTTCAACAAAAAATAAGCTCCTTTTATGCGCCTTATACATTAACAAAATGCAAAATAATTTTCGAAGACTTTACATGATCATGACAATATAACTAGTCTCTGACGAGGAACTCTTTTTTTTTTTTAATCATATTATTCACCATAAAAAGATCGAGAGATTTTTCGGTTCGATTTCAGAGGGTGAAAAATAAAGCTTGAAATTGAGAATGGCTTGGAAAAGGCAGCAGAGTTGCACACGAGAGTCTAAAAATCTCACCGAACCCAGCTCAGTATATGCTCATGGTACGCCGGAATGCATTGTGCTGGAATGAATTGTGAAAATGTGGAATAGAACAATGCGAAAACACTTTAGCATAATACGTGGTGAAAATCTCATTTTAAAAAAGTAAAAATTGAGCAATTTTTAAAAACATCCAATAAAAAAGCACCTTAAAGGGCTTTTAAAAAACGAAAAGCATAAATAAGCCCTTTTTAAAAATGCTAAGCACCATGAGATATGTCTTTTTATTATAATGTAAGTAAATAGGTAATATGTTGATTATTCCATTCATGAAATGCCAAAATTAAAATCCTGCTCATATGAGATCCACTATCGTTGACCCTTATTTTCATTTCATTGACCCCCAATTTTTCTCTCACTTGACATGGATCCTTTGCAAGTCGACCACTTTGGGAATCACTGCTTAACACGATCAACCGTCCATCGATTCGAGTACATTCTATAATGATTAATAGAGGTTNAAAGCGTCGGAACTAAAAAATTTTTTTTTTCTCAAAACCTGTTGAAGTGAAACAATAACTGATGCTAGAGAGTCTTTATATCATCATTATCTATCTATAGAAAAAATTTTAAATTATTTGGATGAAATTTCAGACACAAGGGACAATTTTTGTATTTTTTAAAATTTTCATATTTTATTAAATTTTTAAAAAAATTTTGACCAAAATTGTTTTTACTTGGCCTATTTCCTAAAATATGCTAAAAAATAAATAAATTATGTTCAGAATAGTAAAATTAAATTAAAAAACAAGTTTTCATAAATTTTCATTTGAAAGGTCCCATGTCCCCTTAAAAACAATTAGAAATATTAATGGCTTAATTTTACAACTTAAAATTGTTAAAGTTTCTAGAAAAGCAATCTAAGACAAGAATCTTCATTTTTTTTCTATATTTACCAATCAAAACTCTGATAAAATGTAATAATACTATTTACGAATATTATGAATAAAGCAATAAATCTTGATTTAAAAAAAACCCTTCTAAGTGAAGGTTTTTTTTTTAAATTTAAAAACAAATATTTTCTAACTTAAAATTGTTAGAGTTTTTAGATACCTAATATAAACTAGTCTCTAAATAAAAACCATAGTTTTCTTTATTCAAGTTCCCAATTTCTCAGATAGTCTATAAAGAATAAGCTACTATTTAATTCAGGAAAAAAAATCTTGATTTTAATCTTTCTCTCTCGTTTTTCTTCCTTTTTGTCATTTTATTGAGCTACATAACAGAAGCTCCCCCAACATACATAAATAAAAAACTAAGCATCTCAAATAAACATACCTCTTCTCATTTTTTATAACTAACCAATTTTCGTGACTAAATGCTATCTTAAACAAAATTGTTTATTTAAAATAGAGCTGTGCAGTAATAAAAATTATTCCTTTCTACCATTTAAAGTTCTTAATTTATAAACATGAAATCAATAAATTCAAAAAAATTTTCAAAAACTTTACACAATCATGATAAAATAACTAGATTTTGATAAATATTGGAAAGAAAATTGTGAAAATCATGCATATTTTGTAATTTAAAACGGCACGGAAAAAATACCTTTTTAAAAGATAGAAAAATAAGCACCTTTTACAAACCCCGAATAAAAAAGGCACCTTTATAAAACGTAAATCAAAAATAAGCACTTTTTAAAAACGCTACGCACAATACATGAGGAAATATTATGATTAAATCAGCAAAGCTTTTAAGAGCTTTTTTAGGCAGGAAAGTGGACAAAAAATAAAAAAGCTGAACTGACCAAGAGGAGGACTGAATCGATAAGATATATAAAACCACAACTTCAAACTCTCCCAGAAGATTTTCATCTTCTGGGTAAAAGCATTTAGACATTGAAATTAAAATTTTTCTTAAACAAATATATTTCAAAACTACTATTATTGTTCCTAATAGTAAAATTATGTCTGCAAGCTCGCTTGAAGAGCATTTTTCTCTGTAAGCAAATAGTGATAGCTGTGGTGATGATTGTTATTTTTCCCTATTTTTTTTATTTATATTGTGACTCATCGTTCTGCCAACACGATGAATTCGAATGAGATTGAGAATCGAAGCGTTGTTGAATCTCTTAGAACAGTGTGTATGGGCAAACCCTGTTTACAATCATTCCAGCTGTTTAATGTTTTTAACCGCTATTTAAATTATAGAAAATGCAGCCTACTAATTGCGAATTTACACAGTACTAAATGTAAAACATTAATTACCGAAACATCGTGATGCATCAAAATTTCGCGATGTTAGCGTGACTATACATCATGATGCTAAAATCTTAACATCTTAGTAAGTTCTGCCCTTTTCTTCCTTACAGTTGTTTTTTCTCTAGCAGCTCTCTATTGCAGTGGGAAAAGTTGGTTCTGAGGTGCATATTTAAGGAAAAATTGAATCCCCAAAAAATTTCGTGCCTCAAACATTATCGGGAATTTTAAAAATTGATAGAAAAAGTGGACTTACCCAAGTCAAAACTTTTTATGGTTTTTTACTGATGGTCCAACATAATGCCTTGAAATTAAATGTTGGAACGTCGATGAACAACCATCATCCCAATTGAATAAGTTAGGATGGTCCAACATAAAAACACCAAATTGGTACATTCCAGGGAACCAACAAGAATTCCCATTCCCAGTGGCAGAATTTTTTCGGGCTTTCTGAAACCCTAGCACTAATGTATTGCTTTAAAATATTCTTAATTATAACAATTACTAATTTATTTGTGTCTACAGAAGAAAGTATAGAATAAAAATTTCTAAAAATTTTTAATTGCAAAAGTAATATTTTTTTAATTTTAATACTATATGCGATATTCTTAGATTTTGTAGGTGGAAGAATGCATTCATTATTTTGTAAATCATTACACAAATTAAAATTCGTAAATAAATTAAATGATAGTAAATTAAGATTGGTATATAAATTAAAAACCATAAAATCCGTGCAGTAACTCCCAAAATAAAGATCACAAATCACGTGAATAGGACTCTTTAAAAAAGAGATACTCAAATAAATGTATATGTCAAATATGGAGTTTTATATAAAGGGGAAAAAAACTGAAAGAAAGAAAATCCTTTCCAGAGCAAACAATCTTTTAAATTTTTGCGATTTCTGAATTTTTTTATTTTGTATTATTTTGAAATTCTAGCTGAAGTCAGTCATTACAGATTTATTTTTAAAATCTCAAATGAGAATAGAAAAATCATGATTATTTCTTTCCTCTCTGATGGGCAAGAAAGAAATCTTTGAAAAAAAAAAAAACTTTTCAAGAAATTATGCAGAAAGGAAAACCAAAATTTTTTCCTTTCCAAATGAAAATTCTTTCTGCAAAAACTCTGTAAAGTTCTACGACAATGTTGCCACAATTCTGCCACTGGGTTCCCATTAAACCATCAAGGAAATGTATAGTTGGAACCGTTCTGAACCATCACGGATTGTCGGTTCACGAGAATCTAACTTCTTTTGATGGTTAACCATCATTATATTAAAATAGTATTTTCCATCATGGAAGTTTGTTGGCATATCAAAAAACCATGAAACTTAATGTAAAATGTTGCGCATGAATCACACCGAAGCCATCAAAATGTTTCGATGGGACCATCAAGAATTTTGACTTGGGCAGGCCTTTTCAAGAAAGTCTTTCATCCCTGTTTTTTGTCCCCAGGAGCTGGATCTGTATCAACCAGCCATCACTAGTATTAGAAATTGGGTCACCTACATTTCTCCCAACTTATCAATATGAAAAAAACTTTATTTAATAAGGATAAGACCTTACCATTCCTTTGATGACTTTACCAAATACCACGTGGCGTCCATCGAGCCAAGAAGTCTTTTTCGTTGTGATAAAAAATTGAGAACCATTTGTGTCTTTTCCAGCATTAGCCATGGATAGCCAACCAGAACCATAATGTTTCAGTTTGAAGTTTTCATCTTCAAATCTATCCCCATAGATACTACGGCCTATGTTAAACAAAGTTCTTTTTTTAAAGGTAAAATAAATATATACATGTTATATGTCTCCAGGAATGAGATTGACCAAAAGACAAAAAATACGAGTAAATCATATGGTTTAATAGTTAACATTAGACAATTTAAGATAATAGCTATATGTTGATATTGTCGAGAATTCACGCTATAGGCGCATGTTGTTTTAGTGCACCAGCAGGACAGTTGATATTAAGATCTTGCTAAACTCAGCAGCAAATTGAGCATCTATAAAAAATGATTGAAGCTTAATTGTGTTTTCCCTCTTGTTTTGTTATTAAAAGAGATTGTCTAAAAACATGTCTTTTGTGCAATAAAAATCTTGATATTTATTACTGTATTCCTCTGGCAGTCCTGGAAGAGATCGGGGTATTTTATTGAACAGTTTTCTTCAGTATTGCTTTAAATATTGATAGATATAAAATACTAATTTCTTAATATGTGAATAAAAAGAGAAATCATGTATAAAGCAGTTAAATACTACAATTCTAAAATAAAGTTCCATAAGAAAATGGAAACAGATAGAAAATTTTAAAGAAGAAAACATAAAAATGACAAACGAAGCAGACGTCATGAGGGGTAACTGGAAGTCATAAAAACATTAAACTTTTTCTATCGAGAGACCACAACAACTGTCTTAAAATTGCTCTCTCTGTTCCCAAAAGGTTTTGTAAAAAGTCCAGGAAGAGAGTATCTACCACTACAAAAATACAATTCCAATTCACTAGTATATAAGGCATGTTAACACGGTTCTATGGCTACCTTTTCATAGATGAAGGTTGACATTGTCGATATCTACTCTCCCCACATTGGTGACCTGGACATGATGTGAACCTTGACAGAAACTCCCACTTCGAAATGAACATGCCTATCTTAACAGTAACAAAAACTTCGATTTGAACAGCCCTACTTTGATGGATGGTCCAAATTGAACAGTTGAATTGTGACTACGACATTATTCACCTCCTCACGCCGTTGCTACTCAATCTCGCTCACATACAAAATAATCACTCAACTGCCAAAGGAAACGCAGGAGCAGCCACCAACCTAATACAGCTTTCATGATCAGCATTAAAAAAATTACGGTGACCTAAGCTCTCCCGGCTTCTCACAAAAACAGCAATGAATCAACTAGTGAAATCCGTTCATCGAATTCTATCACAGGTATATTTCGGGTGGGGGAGTACTATAGTGTATCTACCACTTCTTTCAATGGATAAAACAGCCTATATACATTTTTACAACACGAAAAAGTGGTGCAATCTTCAAAATTAACAACGAAAAAAATTAAGCAAACAAATTATTTTAGGTACCTTGGAGTTGTAATGGATAAAAAATTGAATTGGGGTCCTCATGTCAATATCCTTAAAGAAGAAGCAAATACTCTTCTCAATTCTCTTTACAAAATCAATAATAAATCTTGGGGATTAAATCAAAAAGCAAGAAAACTCATTTATAACACAGTAATAGTCCCTTCTCTAGCACACGGTTACAATATTTGGGCAAAAAACATTTCACCTCGGATATCTAGAACCTTAATTTCGATTCAACGCAAATTCCTTTTGAATATGACCAGGCTTACCACTCTACCCCCACCGCAGCTCCTCATGTTTTAACAAATATTACCCCTCTTTCAGACCAGATTATGCTCTTGTCATGCTCAACAGCATTAACTCAAAAAAAAAAAAANAAATATTTCAATCTTCAATCATTAAGTTATAATCAACAGGACTATGAAAATAAATTAAAAGTGCCAATTTATCACCCATCATATTATATTAAAAACAAAATTTCTAACTGAACAAGGTAACTACGACTTAAGAAAAGATACTAACTTCTTCACAGACGTTTCCAAAACTAAAACAGACACTGCATTCGCATTTCTTAAAAACGCTCATACACAAACTTTCACATTGGATATTAACAATTCTATTTTTCAGGCCGAACAATTGGCAATATTAGAATGTGTAAAACACATCAAAAATAACTTAAACTTTAATAGACAAATAAAATACATAATCTGGTCAGATTCTAAAGCCTCAATAACATCAATTAAAGACGCAGGATCAACCAACCTCATAACCAAAGACATTCAACATGCACTAATGGACACCGCCATTCAAATCTCTTGGACTAATGCGAACAATTAGAGAAGGTAATGAGAGAGCGGACGAATTGGCCAAAAAAGCAACACAAAACATTACAAATTATTCCTTTCCTCTCCCTGTTTCACACCTAAAACAATCTCTTAAAAAATCTTTATCAAGTAATTGGCAAAACCAATGGAATAATTCCGATAGAGGAAGACGTCTGTTTAACACCATCAATAATGTTAACTTCTTCAAACCAATTCCAATTAAACAAGTCATCTGGTTCCTAACAGGTTGCGGACCATTTCCTTCTTTCTTTCCTTATCTGCATATCTCGGATACTAACCTTCGTACATGTGGTCAACCAGGCACACCAGAGCATCACTTATCAACTTGTCTTTACACAATATCATGGCATACAAGCCTTCCAAACATTAATAATTTATATATTTGGCAAAATAACTTTCTTACAAATAAATTATTTAACTCTAAATTAATTAACGTAATGAATTTTCTAGCAGAAAACGACTCCTTATTAAAATTTTAATCAAACCTGACTTTTTAAGTAGTCTTGAAAGTGTTTATTGCCTCTTAAACTTTTTTGAGGTTCTTTTCAGCCTCAGTTGCTGCAAAAAAAAAAAAAAAAAAAAAAAAAAAAAAAAATTTNAAAAAAAAAAAAAAAAAAAAAAAAAAAAACTTTGTTGAAAAAACCCTACTTAAAAATATTCCTATTTCAAACCGAAACATACAATTTTCTCAATTTTTTTTAACCAAACTGAAATTCGTAAACAAATGTTTAATGTGCAGACAGAAGAGAAAAGAAAGAACATTTAGTACAAAGTAAAATAACCCATTGAAAAAAAATAAGAAATTGTATTTTTCTTCAGTTTACACTAAGGAGACAATTATTACTTGAGAATCCTGCATTAGTGAAAACATTCAATTTCTTTTAATAAATACTATTCAGTAACATGATTTTTCAAATTATTGAGAAAAGTAAACTTTTACAATTAGAATAATTTATATTCATATTATAATGTAATATAGCTAAAGCCCCGTGAAACATATCAATCATTGTGAAGTAGAAACATTTAGTAACTCCTAACATACAAAAATTGCTATTTTAGTGTGCTAAAGTAGCTTGAATTTTCTGTTTATCTTAGAAAATCAGAAATAAATATGTTTATTATAGCAAATATATAAAAGCGGTATAGTTATAAAAAAAAGTGAATATTTATTTAAAAACAGTTTAAGATTTTTAAAAAAAAAAGGCTGAAAATCGAGAAACAAAAGAATCGAGAAGGAAAAATCTCATCCCTGATAACAGATTCTACTGAATAAATAGCTTATATATGATTGAAAGTAGGTCATACCACCAGTTCCATCTCCTTTTGTAAAATCACCTCCTTGAATCATAAAATCTTTAATCACTCTATGGAAGATGGATCCTTTATATCCAACAAGACTGCCATCTGTTGAGGGCTAATAAAATATAAATATCCATTATTTATTATCAAGCGTTTCAAATTTTAATTTCATTATTAACCACTTGCCTTACCAATTTTTTTGAAGAAAAAATATGCAAAATATCAATATATTTTTTTTTATTTCATTCAAAGAACTAAAACAAAACATAACACACAAGATTTCAATTTTTTTTGTGTGTAAGAAACATTTAATTTAAATGAATAAAGTTAGATATTAGTCTTTGTACAATAGTTCTTAAAAGAAGGGACAACACAAAGTGATACTTTTCAAATGTCAGTGAAGGACTACGCCATTTATTTTTTCTCTTTTTAATGAAACTTTTGTAAATTCAGCAACCATCATACATACAATCGCACAAATTATAGTTTGTCTAAGCTAACAAGGGAAACTAGGGAAGTGTGACTCGCCAATTTTGAAATAAACTAGTGGGATGTATGCCTTATGAGGAATAATTTTAGGGGGCAACATTCGTTTCGGCCCATAGAAGGTCCTGTGAGAGATAAAAAATAATTCAATATATAGAAAAATCGGTATTTTATTACTTCAATGCAGACTATTAGTTATTGTAATTGTCTCATACTCCAATTAATTTGTAATTAATTGGTTAATTAATTAATTTTCTAAGTAATAAATTAATTAGCAAATTACCTAATTAATAAAATTATTAATTGATTTGCAATTACATTCTCCGATTTGAAAATTTTTTTGAAAAAAAAAATTTGGTGTCAATTTTTCAATTTTTTTTTTTTTTAAATTAACCTAACAGGTTTTTCTGAAAAACTAGAGATACATAAAATTTTCGAAATCAATTTTGACAATAAATATGCATTATATAGTACGTGAAAGTAACACAAAATTAATTGGAGTATGAGATAATTACAATAACTAATAGTTTGCATTGAAGTAATAAAATACCGATTTTGCTATATATTGAATTATTTATCTCTCATAGGACCTTCTATGGGCCGAAACGAATGTTGCCCCCTAAAATTATTCCTCATAAGTCATACATCCCACAAGTTTATTTCAAAATTGGTGAGTCATACTTCCTTAGTTTCCCTTGTAAGAGCTCCTCCCGCCACAAAGCCTGAGGCCATGTGGTGCTATGGAAACAATAATGGTGCATTTTATGGAAAGAGAGATGCTCTCGGTGACCCGAAACCACTCCAAAAGAGTGACCCCGCACCTTTACTTGAAATAGTTATACCTCGTTACCAAAGTTACCGCCAAAGGTCCAGACGAATGTCTGGGGATGTTCTTATTTTAGACAAACTATACGAGTGCAGTCCAACAGCAAAACTCCAAAATAAAACTTCCAATCACAGCAGATTTCATTTTTTGCTTCCGACAGAGTAAAAACGTGATGAAACAAAACGTATTGACAAATTCTGCTACGCCCGAGTTTTCTCCGGATGATAAATATTTGGAATACATACACATACCCGAGTTAACTCGGGATAACCAGGGAAGCGGTTAAAAGAAATAGTGAGCTCATACAAATTTAATTAACGATTTAGCTGTTGGTTCATTGAGAATAAACATTATCATCAAACAGTATTTAACTTACACTTTTTTTAGATATAAGTATGACACTAGTGTGTCATAAATATCACAATAAAAATAACCACTGCATAACCCAATTTAAAACAAAATAAAATAAAATACGCACAAATGATCAGTATTTGTTGAATCATCCAGAAATTAAAAGAACAAAAATCTTTTTTTTTAAAGTCTGAAAACTTTGAAAGAGTGACTGAAAAAAGATTACAATGACTATTAAATAAAATGAAAGGGTCATGGAAAAATGTAGAGCTCCATTTTATTATTAGAAAATTTAGAGCTACTTATACATAGGGTTATATACATATATTTTGTAAATACAAAAGCTATTACAGATAAAATACTCCTTTGCGTGCATTACTCAGAAATTTAGAGCTCCATTTTAGTACTTCAAATATATATACTATGCAGGGTTGGAGTTTTTGCCGGTAAAAAGGGTTTTTTGCCAGGACAGTGGCAAAAACATGGTAAAAGCCGGCAAAAACCAAATTATCTAAATTGCTGATTAAATATTATTACAAAATACTTGAAACAAATTTAAATGTCATAAGGAATAATAATTTTGATACATTACATGAAAAAATTATTTTTAACATATTAATAATTAATATAAAAGCAATAATTTATAAACATTGAAAGTTTTTGACCTCTTTTCATTTTAGAATCCTTAAATAAATGTTTTTTTACAAATAGTAAATAAATATTATTATTTGTACAATAATTAACTACACATCTTGATAGATATTTTATGCTTTAAATTATAGTTATATTAATTTAAAATAAGTTCATTTCACTGGAAAAAAGAGAATAATCNCTTTTTTTAGATATAAGTATGACACTAGTGTGTCATAAATATCAGAATAAAAATAACCACTGCATAACCCAATTTAAAACAAAATAAAATAAAATATGCACAAATGATCAGTATTTGTTGAATCATCCAGAAATTAAAAGAACAAAAATCTTTTTTTTAAAGTCTGAAAACTTTGAAAGAGTGACTAAAAAAAGATTGCAATGACTATTAAATAAAATGAAAGGGTCATGGAAAAATATAGAGCTCCATTTTATTATTAGAAAATTTAGAGCTACTTATTCATAGGGTTATATACATATATTTAATACATACAAAAGCTATTACAGATAAAATACTCCTTTGCGTGCATTACTCAGAAATTTAGAGCTCCATTTTAGTACTTCAAATATATATACTATGTATACATAGGGTTCTTTATTTAAATTTTATGCTAATAAATACTGAAAATTAGAGGATTCTATACAGATTTTTGTGGAATGTTACTGTAAAAATATGAAGTTTGGTAAATTCCAAGTTTTACCAGTAAAACCTAGGATTTACTAAAGTGGGATGGTAACTACTGGTTTTACTACAAAGGCTTGGTAAAACCTAAGAACTACCAGACTTTGGGTTTTTACCACAACATTAATCTCAGATATAATGATAATAAAATTTTCTATGTATGGAATAAGATTTTTTAAAAAGAGAAGAAAAATTATTAAAATAAATAACTAAAAAAAATATTTAAAAACTGACTTAATTTTAGGTTTGAGATATTATCTACTATATATTTTTCTCAATTTTCTTCATTCATCTCTCTTTTCTTTTTGATTTTATTGTTATATACGAGGTGTGATCAAAAAGTATCCGACTTTTGTTCATAAAATAAACGTTTATTATAATAAAATTATTTAATACAAATCCCCTTNTCCGTTTTTAGTTCGGTTTTGTTTTTATTGTTATATATATATATATATTTCAAAAACTAAAGAAAAACATAACTTTTCTCTGATAAGAATAATATACTTTTAACTCTAGTTTTAGAATTAATTAAAATGTTCTATAAAACATGATACAGTAGGGAACTGATTATCCGGAACGGTCGGGACCATCGCTATTCCGGATAACTGATTTTTCCGGTTTTCTGAATCACTACAAGCCATTTTTTTATTGTTAAACCCAACTTTAAAAAAAAAAAAAATTGGAAATAATCTTAAAAATAAGGAAAAACGATGAAGTAATACACTAATGATTATTTCCAAAATTATGGTAAGGTAAACATCTTTAAAAAAAGAAAGAAAAATCGTAAAAATCGCGAGAAAATTTATCAAACTTCGTTCCGGTTTTTTGGTTTTCCGATTTCCGGATAACGGGTTCTGTACTGTACTACATTAGTTTAGATTTTTTTCTTTTGAAATAAAAATCAAAAAGTGTTATAGCAAGTAATCTCAAAAAACTTATAAATAAAAAGTAATAATAATAAATTAAGAAGGAAAAAAAAAACCTCAATAAAACCAAAAGAACTGGAGCAGGACTCTTTTTCTTTCTTTTCTTTACAAAAAAGAAGGAAAAAACAAGAGCTTGGTTTTTCTTTCTTGTATTTTAAATCTTGGTTCAAAATATTCCATTTTCAATTTTTAAGACTAGCAACAGCTCCTTGAGTTTTTAATTATCAAAAGAAATTAAGATAATTAAAAAAAATCAACCACAAAGATAAAAGCTTCATCAATTAAAAAACTAACTTCAGTTTTATGTTTTGTACAAAGTTCAGCAAAATTTTTGACTGTTTTAGGAACCGTCTTGCCAAACAATCCTATTTCAATTCTTCCAGCTGGTTCTCCACCAATGGTTACATCAAAATATACCTGTGAAAATTCAACAAATTATTCAATAAAATTTGCATCACAAACAGGACAACATTTGAAAATATTGCTTCATCAAATTATTAAATGTACTTGGAATAAAATGAACAATTTGCATCACAAACAGGACAAAATATGAAAATATTGCTTCATAATGAACCTATGTTATGTAATGCAACTGTTTTTCAGTGGCGCCATCTATGACCAACAATTCTACTTCTGCCACAACCATACGTCACACCCATTTATAGGGTGCACCCTTTCTTACATCCATTCATTAGTCCACAGATCGCAATTTTTACTTTAACCAGAGAACGATCCATCTCTAATTCACTACTCCCAGACCTCACATCTGTTATGGGAACAAGGTGGACTTTGTGACCCGACAGATTTAAGATGCACCAGTCACCGTTTACTACACGTGGAGTCTTCTGCCGATTGGATTCGAACTCCCGTTTTCACGACCGCAAGTCCATTACCCTGCCAATCCGGCCAGTAAATTTTTTTCATTCTATAATATATATGTTTTGTTATAGAGTGTTTTAGACATCCTAAATTAATTTTGGACAGAACACTTTGGTTTTGCTGTCTTAAAGTGTCCAAAACTATCTTAAAGTGTCCAAAACCTTTAACTTTGGTAAAATATTAATAAATATTTCATATTTTTTATACAATTTGCTTTAATTTATTAATGGAAAGTAATATAATAAAATAGGGAAATATCTCTAAGAGTTATGGCTCCACAATTCATTGAGCAACAAAATTGAATACCTTATCCTTTAAATATGAACAAATATGCTTCTAATACTGATAAATTACGTTTTTGCATAAGGATAAATAATACAATATTAAAATTTATAATAAACTTTTTTAATAAAAAAAAAAAAAATTTGTTTTAATTTTGTTTCTTGTTCAAAAATTAACCTTATATTTTTCACAATCTTTTTAAAATTGTGACAATTTTAATAAAAGGGCTATAGACAGTTTGTAAAAGACTTTTTTTTTAAATTTCTGGTATCAATATATAAAAGTGAAAAACATTTTGTTTCTTTCTTACAATCTCAAGCCAAAACGTTTATTCTGCATTGCAAACATATGTAGGTAAGCAACCACCAGATATGTTATCCTAGAAGTAAAAGCTGTTTTTGGAAATTCTGCTGCTTAATTGAAAAGTCTTTACTTTTGTTGATTACAATCTATCTTATTTTCCATCTTCTATTGAGAGCAGCAATATATTTCTCCTCACATTTCGCAAAAACTTATTATGTTTTTGCAATCTCTCATTAACATGTTTGAGTTTTAATGTTAGTTGAAGTAAGGAAGAGAATACAGTACAAAGCATTTAACATTAAATATGTGTACTTTTCTTCATAATCCAATAATGTATTATATTTATTGCAATAAATTTAATTACTAATAAATAATGTTTACACTAGAGAGATTTCCATATTGTGGCAGAATAATCGAAAAGTCTTGGTAACTTCGGAGAAAAACCTCACAGAAGGGGACAAACTCGAAATGTATAACTCGTAATCAACCCCGGGCAAAAACATCTACATGCTTCGTCTTCTTTTTAAATTTGCGAATTTAAAATTTATTTGGCACCTTGGCAAATACATCCTTTACACTAAATAAATACTTATGTTATGTTATAAAATAATAAGTTTTAAATTTTAATTGTATTTTTTTTTTGCTAATCTTGTCCATAATTTTATTCTTAAATATGTAGATGCCGAAACTAGATAAAGTTTAATTATTTAAAGTATTAATTACAATCAAGTTCAATAAATAAAAATTTAAGTTTGGTGACCAAAAATTTTTCAGTATTATCATAAAAAGCCCAAATAACGTGTGTTGACATTTTTGATATAAAATCTTTAAGGCAAATCATAATGTCAAAATTACCACCATACCTCATTCTCAGAATATGTCAAGTTTATATGGAAGAATAAGTTGCCCAGTATCAATACCTTAAAACAGTACGGTAATATTTTCAAAGAAAGAGATACTACATTTTCAAACGAAAAGCCCAATAATTTTGCACTAGTTATGAGAAAAAAAGCTGAAAATTGGAAAAATATATTAGTTACATATCTTTTTAAAACTTTATTTTAATAAACTACTAAAACTTACTATATCTGTAACTTTAGGTCCTTTAGGTTTCTTAGTTTCCGTTTCACCGTTACAAATCGATGAAAAATAACATAAAGTAACTATCAGAAAAGGTAATTTAAACATTTTTTTCAAAATCAAATTAAAGATTCTTTAAATAAGTATAAGAATGCCACGTCAACAAAGAGAAATCAAAATCCTCAGTAATAACTTCATTAAACAATTATTTCATCTACAACAACATTAACAATCGCGTCGCCCGCTTATCGGCTATTTACACGTCTATTTTTTTTTCCGGCTAATTTATTTATTCATTCACATGCTTGTGGAACCCTTTAGATTGCTCCAAAATGAACACCAGTGCACCACACTATTCATCCCTTTGTGGTCTACAGATGGCGTTGAGCAGAATTCTCTCTATACATGGCAACAATGTTGCCAGATTGGGCTACAAGTAGCGGATTGGGCTACTTTTAAAAGTCCCCGCTACTGAAAATTGAATTTTCGCTACTTGCTACTTTTTGGGCTACTTATTATTTTTCGAACGCTACAAGTCCCGCAGTGGACTGATCGTTAAGACACGGTTCCCAGCAGATCACCGAAGTCAAGCATCACTGGCTACGGTCAGTGTGCGGGTGGGTGACCACTTGGATCAGTCTGCGTAGGGACCGAGGGTGTGCGGTATTGGTCC